CTGCTATGGTTGCCTGTCTTGGTCATCTGCCTTGGCCATCTTACTTGTTTGCCTGCCTCGGTCATCTTCCTTGGTCGTCTGCAATGGTTGTCTGCCTTGGTCGTCTTCCTTGGCTGTTTAGTTGAAACTGTTTTTAATGGCATTGACATACATTTAAACTTTTTTTTTTATTTACAGGTATTCGTCTTTAGTTCCTTCAGTAAAAGTGCCCTCTGAAGTATCCTCTGGCACTTTATTAGAGACACCAAAACCCAGCCAACAATCAGCGACTGTAGAGGACGGTGTACTGACTTCATTACTTCCTTGTTCACCAAGCCAAGTGTTTCCTTCCAAAAAAGCAAATTTTTCAGATGGTAAATCATTGGAAGATTTACTATCAGTGGAAGACAAAACTGATAGGAACGGGACTGAGGTTGAGGAGGGAACAGCAGAAGAGAACCAACAAGGTAAGTACATTGAAAAAAGGACACATGTACATGTACCTTCAAACAAGACTAGAAGTGTAAAAAACTAATGTAGTTTGATTGCATCACAATTCCTCAATTGTTAACTGTAGATATCACAACAGACATCACAACATCAGTATATTTGATTTGGCATGTTTGGATTCCATTTGTGCATTGAAGAGGTCAACTCTAGACTATTACCTAGAATACTAAGTGTCTCCTACAATATCCTTTTGTGACAGATGACGTCTTAAGACGTAGAATGGAAGAAGCAGAAGAAAGGGAGCAACGTGAGTGGGAAGAGAAGCGTAAGAAACAGGAAGAGGAGAGGCTACAACGGGAGCAAGAAGCAAGAGAAAGAGAGCAAGCTATGTTAATGGAACTACAGAGACAGGTGAGTAGCAAGCACTAGGTAAGAAATAGCGTTGAAATTGGCTAGTATGACACTTCACCGCCTGCAACGTAAGTGGGTGTAAAGACGAAGCCAGACGATTATTTCTGGCAGGAACATACTGCCCCGGGACACAAGAGTGCAGTGGATGACTTGGATTAGAGCGGATTGTATACAGCATGCATACTTTGCTAACATTGCGACGATGACTTAGGTCACACAGAGGATTGCCGTCACAGGAAAACTGTCTTTTATTGAGAACCTTGTCAACTAGACGGATATGGGAGGCAGCAGCGGAGGACCACACTGGAGTGCAGTACTCAAGGGGTGGAAGGAAAAAACAGGTGAAACACCTACCAGAGATGGAATCATCATTAGAAAATAGTGTATGCCTTCCTCATTAATCCAAGTTTGCAAGAAGCTGAGTTAACGAGAGACTGAATATGATGCTCAAAAGTTAATTTTTGGTCAAATGTGATGCCCAGAATTTTCAGTTGATCGCAAGAAGTGAGGACTGAACCGTCTAGGCAGACATTACCATGTGGAGGCAAAAGAGTATGGGACCGGGGGAAGCAGCAACTCCTTGATTTACATGTATTCAACTTCATCTTCCACTTGTTACACCATCTGGATATGCTACATAGATCAGCGCTTAGTGAGTCACAGACAGCAAGACGTAACCTAGGTGAATCAATGGTTGCGATCAACGTAACGTCATCAGCATAGCCATACAGTGAATTCTTAGTGATCTTAAACAGGTCAACAGTGTAGATGTTGAACAACAAAGGACCAAGCATGCTGCCCTGAGGAACACCTGAGTGAACATCGTGCCAATCACTAAAGCTGCCATCAACACCTACACGGTGTGTCCGTCCCCTCAAAAACTGAGTAATGATCAACAACATGATCCACCGATCCCAAGCCTGCGTAACTTCCACAGTAATGCATCATGATTGACACCATCAAAAGCTGCCATCAACACCTACACGGTGTGTCCGTCCCCTCAAAAACTGAGTAATGATCAACAACATGATCCACCGATCCCAAGCCTGCGTAACTTCCACAGTAATGCATCATGATTGACACCATCAAAAGCTGCAGACAAGTCTAGTTGGACAACTCTAGCCTCCTGGCCACGATGAAGAGCAAACTGTAATTATGAGAAATTGTTAGAAGGGCATCGGTTGTACCAAGAGTCTTACTATAAGCAAACTGATTGGGAGACAGCAAACTTGAACATTCCAAAAAGCTGGAAAGTCGAGTGGACACAAGGTGCTCAAAGACCTTAGAGAACAATGGTGTAGTGAAAATTGGACGGTAATTGGAACTGGTTCAAATATTAAAAAGGCTTATTCTGTTGAAGCAGAAAAAACATACACTTGATATGAAAGAGGCAGGGAAAACAAAACCTTTCCCCAAATATAACCTTTAAACAAGAGGTGACAAGACCATCTTCCAAAATTAACATGAAAAAATGGAACACTTTTCCCATTTATGGTAAAAAAAAGTCCACAAAATAGGCTTAGTCCCTTTTTCACCAATTTCAGAAGTATGAATTAACGATATGCCAGTGACCCCAAAATGTCACAGGGAGATACGACTGTAAACAGTGTGCATCGTCACATACAAGTCTCGTAGTAGAGGTGTGCTCAAAGGCAATGTTCTTGCACAGTTCTTGTCCTCTATGTTGATTGTTTCATCCATAAATGGATGATTTGTTGTGTTTGTCATAAAATAAAACATACCCCGGTCTTGTGCAGTTTCTAGTTTCAGATAGGAATTTTGTACCCTGAGACGTGGTGTTCTTGATGTTTCCTTGCAATAATGCATTGAATTGATCGTCTCTGGACAACGTAATAAGGGTAGATTTTGAACAATGTACAATGTAACAAGGTTTTTTGAAGACTGCTTAGACAAATTCTCAGCATCTGAAGAAGTACTTCAAATTTAGAAGAGCGACACATTAGCCTCGCTGACTGCTTGTGTTGTGTTGCAGCTGGCGGTCTACGGCACTGTGCTCACCGCCAGATTTGTGACCGACACAGCCTGGCAATGCAGGCAGGTTCTGTGCCAACATCCTCATTCATTGCCGAGTAAATTATAGTTACTTTCATAATAACTGAATCCACTTACTTCCACCAGAAGAATCCAACATGTGTTGAGCTCTTTTTTTTTTCGACAAATTGAAAATGTAGACTCAGCGAACAAGCAAACTCGTGGGTTGCTGTCTCTTTTCTAGAAGCTTCACATGTACACACACACAAGGTAGCCAGCGATTCAGTCTAAGATTCAGGTCTGGGTATCTGAGACTGAATGCTTTATTCTCTGTGGCATAGGGGTAGTCTGTTGCCACTGCATGTAAACACTAGTGCACTCTCACGTACATGCCACGTACAATGTAAATTAGGTTCCACTCCACCTGCAACGTCTCGTACTCCTTCATTTCGGAACAAATTTCACAATTATTTTGACCAGCTAAGAGTAAGATTTTAGGTTTAATCATTTTAGAGATGAATGTATAATATTGTGCATTTTCTAGACGTCATCAAAACTCCTGGTTTTAAAGTATTTTTGCTGGAATGATACCCGTCACATGTATCTTCATGCATGTTTCGTGTATGCCTGTTGTGCCTTTCTCCCTGTACATTATCAATCCAACAAAAACACAAAATGTGACCTCACCTGGTTGGGGAAAGAAATCTCCTCTTTTCTCTTGTGTTGATTTTTTGGCATATAAATTCATGGTATAGTGATTTTGGGGTGGCCAATCAACCGTCAAAACCCTAGATGTCGAAATTTTTTAAGCCTTTTTCCTTTGCACTTTAAGGAGCAAGGACAGGGTCCCCCTTTGGGTATTTTCACTGGGCTACGGTTCAGGAAACTTGGTCCTGTAAAGTGATAGCTTTGCACAGAGCTAGGACAGGGACCCCCTTTTGGTATTTTCACTGGGCTACGGTTCAGGAAACTTGGCCCTGTAAAGTGATAGCTTTGCACAAAGCAAGGACAGGGACCCCTTTGGGTATTTTCACTGGGCTACAGTTCAGGAAACTTGGCCCTGTAAAGTGATAGCTTTGCACAGAGCTA